ATCCCTGAAAAGTTAGATTTGTCTTCACCCATTACCAGACTTTCCAGAATAGACTCTACAGTCCTACAGGGCTACAGATGAGGTTCCTGCGCTCTGCGGAGAGTGATATTTCCCAGACTGAGAGACACTGAGAGACAGGGAGCTGGTCCTTGCCTGTCCTGTCACTCTGCAGGCAGCAGGTCCACCGGCCACTGCGAAAGGCTCCTGGGTGAAAGGATGGCAGCATCCGCTCATTGTAGATGCTGGCCTTCCTAATGGCCGACAGCCACTGGTTCAGCTCATTCACATTCTGCAGAGAGGAACAGATGCTCACTGGGTTGGACTCAGACCAGGAGCCATTGTCACACAAGTTCTACCATAGCTGTGTGCTGAAACCTATGGTTTTCAAACTGCTGTTCATGCAGGCAAACTAACAAGTCACCTTGCATTGGATGTACATGGTGTGGAGCTGCCCGTCGTTGTCCTGAGTGATGACCTGCATCATGTTCTGCTGCTGGAAAGCATTTTCGTCCACCCGCTCCACAGCACAGATGCGCTGGATAGGGATGGAGGAGCGAACCTGGGAGAGACAGACAGGCTCACGTTAATTGTTCTAACCTATTAGTCAGGACACTGCCTAATCGATAGTACCTGTGGTACCTGGAGGTCAAAGGGAAGGCTAGGCTAGGTGGCCATCCTTATGATATGATGTTAAAAAGATGTTCTGACTATCTAGTCATTAATGGTCACATGGAACTTTCTCAAATAGCAGTAGTGCCCTGGTTTCCGGGCTAAATGCTGCTCTGGGCTTGTGCAATCGGGACAATTAAAAGTTCTTCTTTAATATTTTCCCTCTGGTAGAGTAATTTCTCATTTCTCCACTGGATCTGCTGTATAATGGGGCTGCTGGTGTGTAAGTCCCTAAACTAGGTGCTGTGCTTCAGTGGTGGATGAAGTGGGTACCTCTCCTGTAGGTAAAAAACCTGGGGATGAAAAGTACTATATAAGCATAATTAAATGTCACCCTAATGTTAAACAGATGATCCTCATTTTCTGTGGCCTTTATTGAGGGATGTTAACATGTCTAGTGCAGTGAAGCATTCTGTGATGGGCTGAATTCCACAACCAAACTCCCATAACCACTGTGAATTCCACAGTTCACACTGGCATGTAATAATGTGGAGTGTGGATTCACATCTGTGGAAAACGTTCAGTCTTTTAAGGAAAGAGCACAAAGCCTGCACCTAATGTGCAAATCCTAAACTGAAGCATTCCACGTCACTCAATGTTTCATTCACAGTGCTTTAGTAAAGGCGATGAGGAGCTGCTCAGACTACTGAAAAACTCAAAAGTTCTGCCAGTGAAAGACTGTCCAAAGCAGAAGGTGCAAGTGCAGCAATGCTTTAATGAGATGTGTCCCAGTATGTGCCTCAACATCAGGAGGAAATGCAAGGCACTTTAATGTGCAAATCAGGCTCACTTCCAGAGCAGGGGGAGGAGGGAGGCGATTGCTTTGAGGCTGCCGGGCTTGATTTACATCGCAGGAATATCTGCATGATTTATTGCATGTGAACATCCATTCCTTTATTCTGGGGCACAAAAGAACGTGCCCTGTGCAAAGCACCACCCTTATCATTCGGCGCATCACTCCCCTTTGTCGAGGAAAAAGCTTCCTTGCAAATGAGCAGCTCGTTAACAAAAGGGGCTGCTATAGATAATTACCTCCTGCTACTGAGGTTCTGGGTTTAAAGGAAATAAATTAATGAACCAACAGACTGAAAGAGGCCAAAGGTTTTGGCAAGTGTCTTGCTAGCCAGCTGAAATGTGATCGTTCCATGGGCAGCATTTTTGCTGGGTAAATTTGAGACTTTGTCTTTTTCTTGGTCAGGGGTGTGTTAAAATCTCACAGCTCTGAAGCTTTGCTCACTAGCTAGGAGTTCAAAGGTAGCTCTAAACCTTCCATGGAAGCCGTTAGACAGTTGCACAGAGGTAGAATTAGCATCAAGAATGGTTATATCAAGTTCTTTCACTAGGATCCCCTGACACAAGAAATGGCAATATCTGTCTCTACTGTTACTAAACTTGCTTCACATTAGTGTTTCTAGCATCATAAATGGCATCAATTATGTGTACATAATGTTTTTTTAATAAAATATATTATCAAATGAATTTTCCCTATTATGGGTGTAATATATTTACACATTTCATTAGTGTTTATTGCTGTGACTCTTGACGGGATTAAGTGGCTTTCTAGGGAGGGATGGATTGTAATCGATATTTATGGACTATAGCTGTGACATGAGGTGGTCTGGACAGGACAGTATGAAAATGGATCAATATTATTTGGCAGAAAGGGTGATACAAGGAAGCCTGAGAAAGCATGTTTCATTGGACCAGTGAAGTGTGTCATATCAATTGGTGTGAGCAGCTACCAGTCAGCATTTTGGACACGGTCCAGTGTGGGTAGGCGAGATGGAACATATTGGTAAGTGCTACAAACTGGTGTAACACGCAAACGGATGGACGCTGTCCTCATCATTTGGACAACATTGTTGAGTCACTAACATTTTTACAAGCAAGTGTGGGGGATGTATCATCAGGCATTGGTGCCTTACGTCATCAACAAGGTGCTGTAAAGGTGCCCAGCTGTTAAAAGAACAGGTCCAGTGCAAGCTGACCAGTGTGAGATTATTCCTAGGGAGTACATTTCATGTAATGACTGTGCCCCTGGGAAGATCATAGCAGAGGGAGGTGTGGCAAAATCATTCTGAATACCAAAGTGGAGTGTGAAATTCTCTTGCACTGAAAATATGAAGGGAGGCATAGTGGTGTAGTGGTCAGCACTGCTGCCCCACGGCGCTGGGGTCTTGGGTTCGAGGCCTCACCTGGGGTCTGGCAGGTCTGCCAGGCTTGTCTGTGGAGTTTGAATGCTCTCATGTTTATGTGGGTTCTATATTGGTGAATTAATTGGCCCTGGTGTGAGAGTGGACGTGCTTGTGTCTGTGTCTGCGTGTGCCCTGTGATGGACCGGCGTTATATCCAGGTGGTACCCTGCTGTGCACCTGTTGCTTGCTGGGAAGGGCTCCAGCCACCACGACCCTGAAAGTGATCAGGAAATGGGTGGATGGATGAACATGTGAAAGTGAGCGTCTCTTCCTCAGCCTGTTTGGCTGGGGTTTGTGACTTCTTGAAAGATGCATTTGTTCATAAATGTGTACTGTGCCGTGCAATAACATTATTTTCAGTTCTCAGCAGACCACTTGGGACTGGAAAAAAACGATTCAGCTTGTGCAGAAGTTATCCCGGCCAGTGTGGGTTGAAGGCTGGAAAACTAAAGACCTGGGGGCAATAGAGGACTGTGGACTGATGCCAGCTACTGGACTACTGGAGATCAAGCCCCAAGATAACAAACAGAAACGGGGGCCGACCAACCTGCCAGTCCGGAGTCTTGGCGTAGGAGAGCGCCTCGCTGCTCAGCCAGAAGTAGCGCTTCTTGAAGGCGAAGCGGGGCAGGAGCTGCCCCCCCTCGGCCTTGCGCTTGTGCAGGTAACCCTCCTTCACCGTCACCGAGGGCAGGAACACCGCTCGCTGATGAGCCTCCGGCACTGCAGGGGCAACAGAGAGCTCACATGCTGTGAACAACAGTGCTGTCCCAGTGCTTTGTGAGACAGGAGTCCAGGCCCTGTCGGGAACTTACCCTACCTGGTGAGCTTCATATCTTCCCAGGTATGTTTGTGTTGTGCCGTAACACCAAAGCCAACTGTGCTTCTTTAGAGCAAATACTGTTGAATTAAAGAACTTAAAGCATGATAACCTTTAGCTTAACTTTGGGTGACATAGATATGAAATGGGAGGTCATATATTCAATATACAAATTCTGCTTTAAAAGAATTACAAAGAACTGTGCTGTTCTTGTTCATGGTACACAAAACAAAAAGGGCAGGATAATGTGAATGGAAAATAATACAAACCTAGGGATCAGTACATTATCATCACAGAAGATTTTACTGGAATGCGGATACCCAGATGTGAAAGATGCTACTTTTCTCACAAAACAACACTGTTTCCACAATAAAAATGTCACAGATTTTAACATTTGAGAGGTGTGGAATTTGCTCTCAATAGTTTTTAGACGCAAGAAACACAGAGGAGTACATAAGCATTATTGTAATATGAATTCAAGAATTCATATTATTCTTTTATCTTTAACTTCTTTTATCAAAGGATAAGAAGCTGTTTTGTAACCTTATATTGCATCTTTGGGAAACTCCTAACACACTGTTTTAAACAATGTTTTACAGTAACTGATAATAGGACAGGTGAAGCCAGATTTCTTCCAGAGATGTAACATACAGTAAGTTGATGTGCACATGTGAGAAATGTGTATGTTCCAAACGCAGTCATTACCAAGTGTACTTCTTTAAAACTAACACAAGGTGGAGCTACTCCGCCGTGTGAGCAGAACACAGTCTACAGAAAAACACAAAACAAAACGACATTTAACACTTCTATATAGATGTACTTTATTGACACTGTTAATGTTTAAAGTGTAATTAACTGGCCCAGATCAAAGCCTGGGGAAGAACCTGCGACAGTCACTTTGCTTCGTCTTCTTGGTTAAAAATGAAGATCTATGGGTAGATTTTGCTCTATGGCACGCAGAGAGCACTTTCTAAGCACCTTCAATATGAAACCCGAAGAGACCTTTGTCATTCGCAGGTTATAGGTCATTCTGCCCTATAACTAGTGTATCCCCTCTGTCAGATCTCTATGAGTCTAGAACCTTTACCATTGCTCCAAACTGTTTCTTAATGACCGGGTTTTTTAACCCTGATCCACTAACAATCATAGCCCAAAACAGGAGAAGTACAGTAAATTATTCCAACATTGTTCCATGTTCATAGCATAAAGCTTTTGACATTTCTAAGCTCTTTTGAGAGGAACTGTTATTGTATGTACAGTATGCACCTTGTAAGGGTGGAGTCAACCTGCAGTCCTGGTCTTTGGTTGTGCTTCCAGATATACTCCTGCTTGAAATTACTTTCACCAGAAATAAGGGATTTTCTGATAACAGATGGGGGGATTAATGCATTGGTCAACTTAAAACCTCTTTCATGGTTTTTAATGTGAAGATTTGTGCAACTATTCGTGTAATCTGCTCATTAGACCAATCAATTAACAGAATCTGGGACAGCCTCCAGAACCTCCAGAAGTGAAGTTTAACACTCTTGTATATTTCAGGCCTGAAGACTTTCATCATTATCTTTCCAAATTAATGTTTCTGATAAATAAAAATAGCTCTAACTAAAATCCTATCTATACCAAATGTAAAAAAAAGTACACAGAAAGATAAAAAGCTTTTTCATACAAAAGCCCAGCCATGTTAAAATATGTCACTTTGGCAGGGAGATAATACATATGCATCACAAGACATCACACTTGTTGTGACTCGTGATGCTTCTTAAGGAGCAGATACAAGCAGGTAATCGTCTCACAGCTTGGCCTTGTACAGTATGCAGTGCCTTGATATAAGATGGTAGGAGTCTACACTTGAGTGGTATGGTGGAGCAGTGGTTAGGACTACTGCCTTACAGCACTGGAGCCCTGGGTCCAGTCCTGGAGCTGGGGTGTTACCCCTATGGAGTTTGTGTTCACTTAGGTTTCCCTCAGGTGACCTACATACCCTCCAGTTTGGCTCGCTTTCTCTCTCTCTCACTGTCCAAAGACATACTGTTGGCTTAAGTCATTCCTGGTGTGTGTTTGTGTGTGCCCTGCAATGGACTGGCGTCCCGTCCAGGTGTATCCTGCCTGGAGCCTGTTGCTTGCTGAGGTTCTGGTTCCCCTGCAGCTATGACCTGGATGAAGTGGTTAGAAAATGGATGGATTCTACAAATAGCACTCACAATTATTGCAACATTCAGCTGCTGAGTGGCTCAATTAGCAAAGGCACTGGATGTTCTTGTACATTCCTGTGAGTGTCTTATCTTTTCACACGTTATTAAGAAAAGGGTGAACTGCTTTTCCCCCTCCATATCAACTATCAGTTGTTAAATTATTTTTTTAAGGTTTCGCTCCTCTGGAGGAAATTGGCTTTGCAGATGAGAGGCAGGATTAGAAAGCGATATTTAATTAGGAGGACTAATTTGTACCTACATAGACACAATGGCTCTGCAGCAGCTACACCAAAAGACATGTAACACTAGTTGAGGCTGAATGGGCTCCCTCTTCTGTGTTGTTAGGATTGTTGGCTGCGCAGATGAGTGGCCTTCACCCCAGCATCTCGGAGGCAGAGTATCAGCTCCTAGCCTGACATTAATATTTCACAGGCAGCCTATTGTGGGGAATTCAATAATAACTTGGCACCAGCAAATGACACCGGTATAAGCAGCAGGGCGTTCTGCCACAGACTCACTTTTTACAGCAACCTGATACTGGTTTTAATATGATTTGCCCAAAGACAAACGCCTCAGTGAGCTCTGCTCCTTGTGTTACTTTGACATTCGGACAGCCATAATGTCAGTCATGGATCATGGTTCTTCTTCACTCTACCTCTTGTTACTGCAGGCCAGTGAGACCCAGAATCCAATTTCCAGAAATTGGAAAGAAAAACGGTCACTTTACGAAATATCTTGAGATCAGGAATCTTCCCAGGCCTAAGCGAATAACAGGAAGAGTACCGCAAAAGCCTACTGATCGACAGGCTGTTATTTGCCAGAGGAATTTCTGGCTTTCAGCTCGTCTGCTTTCTCCCGTTCTTAGCCCAGCTCAGCAAATGAGCATTCAGCTGCGCTTCTTTCACATCTTCAACAGTTGGGGATTTAAAGATGGCTAGAACTCTCTCATTGACTGATGTTCCATGAGGGTGCAAAGAGATACCAAAATGTGGATGCTACCTATAATACATATTTCTAGAGGATAAAAATCATGAAATAAGAATAAGCAGAGCATCCCTCAATGACAACCTTCTTTACAAAACCTACTAAAAATAAGCAGTCAAGAGCCTTATTTCGCCTTGTGAAGAGCATGCCTTTTTAGGTACTGTGACCAGAAGTGGGGGTGGGCTGTGATGTCTGTTTGTTTAACATTAAGTCTAATTTGCTGTGAGGCTGAGACATTGATCAAAACACTCCTTATAAATACCACTTCCAGTTATCAGTTGCCTAGTGAAGGTGTTGATAGAGTCTACGATGCTTTTAGACTTAGATGGAAATTACAAAAATAACGAGGTAACACAGAGGTGTTTAATGTACAGTACACAGAGCCCTGCCAGATTAAAACTTCACTGGCAAATTGATAAAGGATTTAAAATGCTGAAGGTTAAAAAAAAGTGTGTGACTGAGCAAATTGGTTCAATTAGGCAAAATACAGCCATGATGGAAAATATCTCTAAATAAAATCCTGAGGAATGAGATCTTGGTAAATTTGACACAGCTGGTACCTTTGATGATTTCTTAAGTCCATTCTTGAGGTTAATGATGTCACTCTCAGTTTTGAAACCGCTAATATGTACCTGGGTGCATTATAGCATCAAAGCATGATATGTATAGATTTAAGCTTTGGATTAGAATTCAGATGGAGTACATTTAGGTATTTCAGGCATTCCAGCCTTAATCCTGACCCTAACGCAGACCAGGGCTAGGGTTAACTAGGGTTTCTCACAGGAAACAGTGACTCCTGCGACTTCCTGGTTGCTTGCAGTGACATCACTGAGAGAGGCCATGCTCCTCCAATCAGAACTAACTCTCCTATAAGATACAGTGGAGCTTGCAGCATGTGGAAGGATGACTGGCTCAGAGGGGTGGGTAGATTGGAGGAGCATGCCTGTCCTTTCCCATTCTCCCCGTGCTGTACAGGAGCTGTTGTTGTGACATAATGCCAAGACATAAAACTGAACTAAAACATACATGAAAAATACTGACACAGAAATCCTGCAGAACTATGAAACTAGAAAAACAGGCATGGACACCTTTTTCAGCTCAACCTTATTCTGACAGTAACAGTTCTTGTGCTGCTAAAGCCACCACAAGCATAATTCCGACATGCAAACCTGGCGGGGTGTGTGTGACTCACCGTTGTCATTGTCGATGTCGATGAGTTTGTCCAGGAAGTCCCTGACAGAACCCACACTGCGCAGGATGAAGGGGTGCAGGGGGGTCATCCACTGTTCCTTTCCATGGCCCAGCTGCAGCCCCAGATTCCCAATACTCTGAACTGCCTGCCGGAGCACAAGAGTCATGTAGTTACAACCCAGAGGACCAGGATGAAGAAGCTGACCAATGAGCATCCTTCATGATCTGTCCTGCTGCAACACTCACAGGAGAAGTGAAACACATCCCCTAGGATCCATTTTCATGTGTCCTGTGAATCTCCCTTCTTTTGACAAGGTACGGAACTCACTTGTTTTGCTAAAAGGAAGATCACTTTGCACTGTAACACTATTTAATTACTTCAAGCCTTCAACATCATAAACAGAAAGCCATTTCCACAGTTTGCATAAATGTCAAAATGAGTGGGCATGGAACTTGTATATAATACACTAATTCTTAAAACTCAAGCAAGTATGATTAGTATTTATTCTATGTAAAGTCTATGTATAAATGTGAGTTAAAGACTCATCTTACCTAAAGCAAATGAATATTCATCTTAAAAAGGCTGTGGCTCTTAAAGGAGTGCTCATAGGATGGGAATTAGCTTGTGATTTGATTTCTTTTGACTTATTATATGATCTTTTTATACTGCTATGTGTGATGCTGACCAGCTGTTCCCCCTAAAAAAACAGTACAGTAGATTTAGGAAATATATCACAATCATTAGCCCATTGGTGGATACGTGGTGCATAAATAGAAGACTGTACAGCAGTGCTTTATATCTCCAGCACAGTTCTACACTTACAGTTTTAGGGAAACATTTGAAAAGCCTCTGTAATTAAAGCAGAAACAAATCCAGTAATCCAAGAATAATTCAACAGGATGCATGAAATTTAAACACAGGAGAAGAAGACAGTGTAAATAATCCTTGCTGTGTTATTGGATTAATTTGCAACTGTTTATCCCAAGACAAAAGAGATAAAAAAAAAGCTTTTACATTTAAGGATTTATTTTTACAAAATCCCTTCCAGCTCCACACAGCAACCTGGTATTAATACACTCCTGGCTCTCTCAATAAATTATTTGTGCCTTCCATGTTGGGTGGTCCTGTTAAGATATTACTGTGTGTACCGTTAATAGCCGAGCCACAGAGCCATCCCCAGAGCTGCACTGTAAATAGATGTTGTGCTCACAGTCACGCTTGTCACTTTAATCATTTGTGTCATTTTTTATCTGAGCTGATAAATATATATATTGACCTATATCTCCTTATTTTGAAAGGCCTTTTAAAAACCCACAGCTACTGTATCTAAAAACAAAGCTGTTTTCTTGCCTAAGAAAAAAGCACAGAACATCCACAAGTTAGCAGTTTATCTACAAAATATCAGTTTTGTTGAAAACAGCACTTTCAAGTTTAACAACTAGCAAAACTAAAGTTATGTTAATGTTAATGTTGCTGTAACAGTAATTTAAAAGGCATATAGTTTTATTTTCTACCTTTATGCTGCCAGTAAGTTTTATTTCAATTTGATATTTTTTCATATAATAGTATTTCCATATGGCCATTAAAAATAAAATTTAAGATACAAGATCTTTAATTTTTGTATTTTATTTGTACATATGTAATTTAAAAGCTGAAATTATTTTGATTAAAACTTGTCACTAAAATGTAGAAAATTCTTCTCCACCACACTGCTACTTGGATGACTGAGATGTGGTTTTCTGAAGAACTCTAAATTTTTCGCAAACCAAACACAAACTGACACAAACCAAGTAATCTCCCGTTTTCTGAAATAAGAATTGATTGTATTTTCTGTTAACCTTTCATTCTCTTTTTCAATCTGTTACCTCTTCTCCTCTCCACCCCCCCGCCCCCCAACTCTCAGCGGATGAAAAAGATCCCCCACATGTCCCAGGAGACCAGGAGATGGACACGAGACCCCTTTGTCCTCCCCACACCTGGACGGCCAGCAGTTCGGGGAAGAACCCCATTTCCATTTCACACTCGCCGGCCGTGCTTTGAAATCCCAGGCGGATTGAGTAAAAATAGAACTTTTCTGTTTCAGACGCATAGCAACAGGATTTCAGAACCGCAGACAGCTCCCGTCTGCAGGTGAGTGACATCTAACTGTCCCCGCTCTGCAGAAGGGCTCTGGAATGAAATGACGCAGTGAAAGACACAAGCTTTTACTCAGCGAGTCTAGGGGAAAACCTGTTCTTTCAACTGAAATGTCAAAAGATTGAAGAGGAATTATTTAAAAAACACACCAAACCTATTTCCAGCTCTTAAAAATTTCCCCCTTTGTTGTTTTTAAATAACAGATTGAATAGTACCTCACCGAGGAAACTGGGAATATCAATTGATCAGAATTCATCTGCTTCAACTTTAGTATGTACAGTATTCCTTGTTTATTCCTTGTCTGCTTTTGTCTGTATTTTGTTTTTCACATTTAAAAATACCAGTGATAACAATATTCATATCGTGGAAACTGAGCACCTGAACCATCTTCACTATTAAAAATTGACCCTTACTTGAATAAGGATTTCAACTACAATGATTTGTACTATGATTTTATTAATCAAATTTAAGATGCTTTATATAACTAATCAAGGATTCTAAAGAATAACATGCCAAAATCATGAAAATTGTCAGGATAGAACAGCACAGTTATAAATGGGAATATTTAGGCGGCTTCTAAAAGTCCTGTTAAAATTGCAAATGTGCTTAGCACAGGTACCCTATAAAATATGCAATACATCAGAACAATAAATCCAAATGTTCTTCGTAATGTATAGAACAGTCTTGAAATGAGTATAAAGTAAAAATAAAAAAATATTTACTTTTTTAGTAACCTCTTACCAGCTTCAATTTGCAGGAAATAAAATCCTTGGTGTACATACTAATGAGTTTTTCATCTGAATATATATGTGGTAGAGAAAAGAAGCTGCCTTTGTTTTAACTGAAAGTTTGAATTTTTATTTTATATAATATATTTGTGGGGCAGTACAGTGGTGCAGTAATTAGCATAGCTGCCTAGGGTAGCAGTGCTGGGAGCCCTGGGTTCAATTCTAGACCCGGGGTGCTGTCTGCTTGACATTTGTATTTGTATGTTCTTCCCAGTGTTTGTGTGGGTTTCCCCTGGGTGCTCCAGTTTCCTCCCTCAATCCAAAGAGATAGTATGAGGTTAATAGGCTTCTGGGAAAACTGGCCCTGGTGTGAATGTGTGTGTGTGTCTGTCTGTCTGTCCGTCCTGAGATGGCTGGTGTCCCATACAGGATGTATCCTGCCTTGTGCCCATTGCTTGCCAGGATAGGCTCCAGCTATCTTGTGTCTGGGATGAAGTGGGTGGATATACTGTATTTATATTTGTTCAGACTGACAGGGCAGCAGGAATTCACCTGAGCCTGGCTGATATACGATATAAGCACTGACTTTCGTATCTCTCTTTTCACACTGTAACAACATGTTAGGAAGGAGAATGTAATCGGGAGAAAGTTATAGGATGCTGGAAAACACTGATTACTCCCCTGTGGACAGGGGTGCGTGTGCCTTTGTGGATGAGAAATGGACCAACTGAGGTGAAAGGTTAACCGTATGTGGAAGCGAACACCAGCGTCTTCGCTGCTGGCATCAGTGCATCAGTGCGTTAGAGTGTGGGTGCAGTGCCCAGGGCGAGTGGGCATACCTTGGCCAGGAGCAGCAGGGTGCGGCTAGTGCGCGTGTCTGCGTGGAGGTCCCTGAGGTTGAAGAGCTTGGGCGTCAGGATGGCAGGGGCAAAGAAGCGCAGGAAGAAGAACCCACTGATGGCGAGATACTTCACATCCTGAAACAGAGAGGGAGGGAGGGAGCAGGCCTAATGCTTGAAGCAGCATTTCCTTTCATACAGAGATCTGCTTCTTTGATTTAAAGCCGCAGGGATACTTCAACACCAGACATAAAACAAAGCAGATACTGTACAGCCATATATACTCATCAAGAGCAGCGCCCTGTACATGTGTTTTTTAAAGGATGACCTCACTCTTGTCTTCAGGGGTTGCTGTGACTCTATCATCTAAGCCCTGAAACTACTTTCTTCTAGGAAGGCGAATGCTTTGATCTCACACACTGGCGATGTGCTGCGTGCGCTGAGGGAGAAGGATCACTCACTTTTTACTTCCTGTTCGGTGCAACTTAATTACTTGGCAAGTTGTTAAATATCCATGAGTCTCATCACACAAGCTCTTAGTAAATCCCGTTTGGTGGATCGGATCTGTGTGTTCACATGTGTATTTGTACACGTTTCTATATTTCACTGTTAGAGCAATACAGATTGATGACTAACAGGGTTTTTTTTAAGCTAAAACCTATGCCAAGCACAAGTCACGCACAGTGCTCCTGTGCTGACATTACTTAGGAACTACTACTGTGCAGAGAAGGCTAAGGACAAAAACTCCATCGCTGCAGGGATATGTCAGTCACATTTCAGTTAGTTGAGCACTGTAAGTAGTTATGTTGCTCTAAAGGCAGATCTTATAACTTATAACTTAGATGATTTTCAATTATACCTTTGATCAACATGTTTCTGCCCATTATTTGTAACTGGACCTTACAAATAACTGGACTTAAAATTTGCATTTTAAATACTGCTACTACTAGTAATATTTAGATCTATATTTCTGTATATAGTTTTATTGAACAACTCAACTGTAAGTATGGAAAGTATTTTTGCTAAACATTTTCTAGCACTAATGTGGCAGTTGGTCTAAGCAGTTGGTCCAGAAATGGACAGAACTGTTTTAAGCATGATAAAGCCAAGCAGCAATTAGCAGAGGCCTAAGGATCTAAGAGATTGACTCTTTTACTTTGAAATCTTCATGGCACTTTCTACTGGCTGGTGAGTCAAGCCAGGAGGCTTGTCAATGGAGTCCCAGACTAATGGAAATGCAGCTCATTCATATTCCACTGGCAATGAAGAATCGTGGCGTGGAGCTTTTCCTGAATGGGCTGAGGAGATAATGGGGACTTTTCATCTCTGAGCGCTCCTATTTAAAGGTGTCCTGACACCATTGTTGAAAACTGCCCACAGCCTTCTGTTGCCAGTTCAGTACACAATGAGTGGAGTTAATTATAGCCCTGGTGCTAAGCATTTCCTCGTGTCGTGGTGTAACGCAGAGGTGCGTACGATGAATCAGGGAGGAAACATATGCAAGACAATGGGACAGATATAACAGTGGCACAGATCCTCTTCTCTTGTACTCCTCTCCATTAACAGCATTTATTATAGTTTCTCATGACCTCATTGATTTCTGCATAGAATTCTGCATGCACAACAGAGTACGTGAGCATAGAAATTAAATTCCAGGTGTCAGTAATTTTCCAATCTTCTATTGCATAGAACTAACTCACAAATGTCTTTGATACAGTTAATATGACAGTTTGCCGTTGACACCAGTAACCATTTGAGATCTTTCTTGTCCTGGTGTTAATGTGGTGTGCTCTCAAAATCTTTGGTGTAATTTGATTCTGTTTTCCTTGACATTTTAACATGACATCATCAATGCCTGTGAGACTGTGCATTTCAGAAACTGTGACTTCAGGCTCTGTTTTAAATGGATGTGTGGCACATTAAAGTAATCAAGAAAAATATTCTTTCAGCAATTTTCTGGATTTTACACAGCCAGAAACCTCTGGCTGTTCCAAAACATGCTGTTTTCGTGTTCTGATTTCATGCTCACAATAAAATTACAAAACCAACTACAGAAGAACAAAATTGCAAAACACCTGTATACCAGGTTTTATTTTATAGGGCAGTATATAGTGAAATAGAACCCATATCCATCAATATACTAACAGCTTCTTCCAGCTCAGGATCCTGGGGAAGCTGGAGCCTGTCCCAGCGAGCAGCAGGCACAAGGCAGGATAAATCCTCCAAGGACACGCAGAGACACACAAAAACTGCCTGGCCTGTCGTCCCAGAAGGACGTTAAACTACCTGTATGTATTTGGTCTGTGGGAGGAAAGCAGAGCACCCAGAGGAAACTCACATGGACCCAGGAAGTGTGTAAACTCCACACAGACAGCGCCCTGGTCCATAGTAGAACCCAGGGCCCCAGTGCTGCGGGGAAGCACTGCTAACCAGTGCGCTGCCATTGATAATTACTCATCACGACCTGCTGACTCATTGCCCTAATGAAATTGAAATAGGACATGTTGACAGGCCGAGTACATGTGGGAAACAATGTGGCTCGCTTCCCCGCGTTGAATCGTACAGTGCAGAGTTAAGTCACAATGACCTTATGGGGCAGATGGCAATGGACCCATGTCAGAGTCCATCTAACTGCTGCACCAGACTGCGCCAGTCCTGTGAGTTGACAGGAGTCCGGGTCACGACAACAGCTACAGTTGGCTACACCATGTGAGACCCATAAACTCAGAGCCTTCAGAATTTATTGCAGGCAGCCATTACTGTGGAAATGCCATAGATAGCAGGACTCAGGCTAATGGGGGCATGTTCCACTGTGGTAACATCAGGACACACGCAACAAAAAGAAAAAACCTTCATAAATACCTGGTGGCATCTGCTGGCCTGAGCTTGTGCATCCTACTATAAGAGCCTGACACAAACTGCAGTGGTGCTCACTTTAACAAGGCAGAGGGCAGTTTGAGATCATGCATGAGAGAAAGAGAACAAAAGCAAAGCAGGTCCCGTCTACGCGCAGTTCTCACCTCGTTCTCTGGCTCTGGGAATTGCTCTTCCACTCTCTTGTGCAGCTGCTTGAAAGCCACCCTCATGACTGGAGGACACTGGGCTACTGAGCTCATGATGGAGGCCATGATGTCAGACAGGTAGGCCTGCAGGAGCTCCAGGCTGCTCTCCCGCACCTCAGCCTCCGACAGGGAGCCTTTGAAAGAGATGCGCCTGGATGGAGGACAGAGGCAAGCCCATGGCAGGTCAGGTAGAACTGCCTCTTGCACAGCAGGACACAGGTGACGCAAATCTATTCTGCTCCTCCAAGCCATTTGCCACCTAACCATTCAGGGTCTTTCCTGGAGGTCCCCATCTGATTCCACCCTGAGAGGTGAGAGGCATGGTGGTGGGATGGGTGGCACTGCCGCCTCACAGCACTGGAGCCCCTCCAGTGGCAGATCAGGTGGATTTTGCTCACATGGGTTTCCCCTGGGTGCTCCAGCTCCCCCCGGCAGTCTGAAGACATACTGATCGGTTGACTGGCTTCCAGAGAAACTGGCCCTTGTGTGAGTGTGTGTGCCTGTTGTGCGTGGGTGTCCTGCGATGGACTGGCGTCCCACCCCGGGTGTACCTGCCTTGTGCCCACTGCTTGCTGGGAGGGGCTCCAGCTCCCCCGCGACCCCGAATTGGAAGAAATGATTCGAAAATGGATTTTTGTATTGTTGTCAAGGGAGAGTAGATGTGGCTTGAAATACTTTCCTAGTGGCGTTCTGTACCAGCAGGGCCCACCCAAGGAAGATGATGAAGCAGACGGATGTGGAAGAAAATGTGAATATGGAAAACTGGGAAGTCCATCATTTTCAAAAAGGCAATAACAAACACCGAAAGAGTTTATGAAAAATAAATTCAGGGAATTCCATATGTATTGTAATGTTTTAGTGGATCATAGCATTTGTTTCTTTGCGATTCAGGAGGGTGTAAAACACGTCAGGAGGGGTTAATTCAGCAGAAGCAGGGAAGGGGGGGGGCAACCGGGGTAGTGATACGTATCTCAGATAAAACACTGATATTCCCAAGAGGATAAGGTTCCTCCTGGTTGCTAAGCAACTACCTCCCACAATTTTTTTCTTTCTCAGACGCGCAGTAACAAGGCTTCGGAATGCACAGTGACTTGAGCAAACCCACAGGAAGCCAGGGTGTCACTTACTTGCAAATTATCACTCTTTTGACTTGTGTTTGAAACCAAGTTCAATCCCCAAGCAAGGCGAACAGTGCTCAGATGTTCAGTTAAAGCAAAGACATACAGTAGGAAGTACTGTTTACACCTCGATCAGATGCCCTTCCCAACGTACTGTCCCAGGTTTTTACCACAAAGATTTGATGGTGTTCTGAAACCTTACAAGGCTACACACTGGCAGGGCAAATTAATAGGAACCTATCCACACATTTTGTACCTTTTCTTCCAGTTCAGGGTCGCAGGGATACTGGAGCCTTTCCCAGCAAGCAACAGGAGTAAGGCAGGGTACACCCTGGGCAGGACACCAGTCCAATACAGGGCACACATAGACAGCATTAGAACATGCAGAGAACAATACTAACCACTGCGCCACTGGGCCTCCCTTTGTTAGGAAGCACCAGCCCTGATCCTGGAGGACCTTAGCATATTTTAATATTTCCTCAAGCAAAGTTCTTAATCCCAGGTTAATTGACCTCAGTTTTCTGTCTGGGATATTTGCTTTCAGCTCTTGAAAGGTCAGACTGGAGTTGTAATTGGTATCAATTCTATACCAGTTTCTGAGTTTCAGAACTGCCCACCTTCAGGTGTGCTGCCTGAAATGTAACACCTGAAAAAACTCTCATTGTGGGAGAGTCTGATACAGTGACATTCTGTTCACCGAATGTATCTGCTCACTGGCAGTGTACAAATTAGGAAGAGCTGTTTATGTAAAAATAATAGCCAGCACAGCCAGGAGAAGATGCAGAAAGGTTTAGATTATGTAGCTGTTAGAAATTGTGCCCCTGACGAGAGCTATCTTTGACATTCATGATTGACCAGGATTGAAGCAAGTTTAATAAAAATCTAAACAACGAAAGTATTCAATTAGGTTAGCAATTACCACTGGAGATTCAGAACCCAGCTGGGATGAAAACCAGCAATCAGTGTCCTACCTGAGCCAGAGCTGGGCACAACGGAGACAGACGTCTTCCTGCAGGCCAACAGCCTCCTTTATATAGAGCTCAATCTTCTCATTACAGCTGGAAGCCAATGCTACTCTGCCCAGTTACAACGGGTAATCCCCAGCTGAGCAACTCCCAGACAGCACTTGTGCGCAGGGTCCGTCAATATTTTTAAAGTGCAGTTTTTAACACATTGGCCGGTCAGTGTAATGCATGTATTGGATGCAGGTACAAAGACAAATAAGAGCATGATGTATACAGACACTAGAGGAGCTGCGCAGGACAAGAGCTTGCTGATTTGAGGTGGCAGCATGTTTTCACAGTGTGTGGACATCTCTCTGTTACAGTTTTCCTGTTGAAATTCTGTGTAGTGTAAATTGCTGTCTGCTTTACCTCGTGCGGTTCAGCTCTATCTTGCATGGGTCCAGCTCAATGTATTTCTTCTCCTCGAAGATGCGGTTCACAATGGGCTTCAGGACTTCGTGCAGGTAGAGCATCCCCACAGCCTGTAGCAGAAACCACGAGACAGGTTAGACGCCTCAGGAGAAACCTGCTTTCACAGTGTGTTTCACTGGCTCAGCTAAGCGAGGGAAAAGAGACACTTGGGTTGTAGAGTCAAAACCCTACATATAGGTCATTGCCCACTTGTTTCAAGAGGGTACTGGCAGAGTACTGGCAAGGCAAAGAGAACATCCTATATATGCATATCACAAAAAAATAGTATAACCATGTGATACAAAGTGAAGGATGATATTGATTAATTTGCATCTTAAACACTTGAAATGGTTCTTTGGGACCGCATAAGACAAATGCAAGAGATGGAGAGCTGCTAATGGAGGCTTTGTCAATGGTGAGCACTTCTTGCATCTGACAATAGAATATTTCAGTGCGCTCCTTTTTAACACCATGCTCACAAAGAGAGAAAATGTGAGGCAAAGTTCCCCAGCAATGTGACAAGTGACAGGACAGGTAATTTGAGAACAGAGAAGTTAAGAATCACAAATTCACTTAATATTTTATTACATATCTGGCCAAAACAAAAAGTCAGTTTTTGAATCCTGGGCCAATCTGACAGGAGTGCTTCCCCAGATATGATAGAGCTATTCCTAAAGATACCAGGATAACGGCCCATCTGGAAACAAGCATCAATTTCAGGCTACCATTATAATCCAGGTCTTCCACCACTCAAGCAATGAAACAAGGAAGCTCACCCGCGAGGAAGACACACAAACTAACCTTCATAAACTGCTCCATCGCCTTTGAAGCTAAGGAATTTGACCGGAACAGGGTGTTGGGATCCGCTAGGAAACAGAGAACAGCAGGACAATCAGTCTTCATCACACAAATAAAAAACAAGCTCCCCAGATATGCTGTGTTTGCACGGCCCCGCCCTGCCCATGGTGACAACAGCAGCCAGTACTCCTGGGGACCAGCAGGATGCAGAAGGCTACGCCGGCCTTTTCTGCAAGGTTGCCGTTTGCATGTATGTCTCCTCTGTGTTCACAGTGACTATTTGACTTGGGCAGGGATCACTCCTGGGCGGCACTGGGGCCCGGGGTTCAGCTCCAGATCTGTCTGTGTGGAGTCTGCATGTTCTCCCCGTGTTCCCATAGGTTCCCAGCTTCGGCTGCCTCCCACAGCCCAAAGGCATACAGTACTGGGCAGAAACGTGTTATTATGGGAGCTCTGGAGTTTAACAAAGGAGAAAACATCTGGGCATATTATTTATAGAGCTTTACTGTATCTGGTGAACTTGACCTCTTTGTCCCGTGTCTCTCATGTCAAGCTCCTCAAGTCTCTTAAAACAACATCTGCTTCAGTTATGCTTTTCGATTTTCGGTTAAATTGGTCTAGTTAAACCTTAACAGTGACAATTAAACCCCCTTTCTAAGAAAATATATAAAATTCAAACTACAGTTTTCACTGTTTAATTGTAAGCAGCCCTACAAGCAGCTTGTGAACTGAATTTGTAAAACCCTCCCTTAATGTCAGGCTAAACCATGGCCACTAAATACAACAAGCTGCTTCAGGACTTTAAGGGGAATAAAGAAAAAAGATCTTATTTTACCTCCTAATGTCACTTAGGCAGAGAACTAGGACCACTGGCTCAATGTTATGGAGAATCTACTTTAAAATTTCCACCCTGTGTTTCTATGGTAACTCAAGACCTACCATCTCCCTACTTCTCTGTTTTCTTTGCTTCAGATGCAAATCTGTGTTCCCATGGAAAACACGAGGGGCAATCTCCTCTCCCCATCCCAGCACCAACACCATCTCACTATCTGCTGCTGACATACTGTACTGCACAATACGTAACTGAGACCCAATGACATCAGACATTTCTTCATTCATTACAGCGAGTTGCCATGGCCACCACCGCCTGCCGTATCCCTATAGCGACGGCAACCAAACCACTCTTCAGGAAAAAAGCTAAACTTGTGCAAATACACTGGGGCGAAGTGAACAGATTTCTTTTTTTGCTGGCATTAATAAAATTTGTATTTAACATCAAATAAATAATGTGAAGCAAAAGAATAGAATTTCAACTTTTATTCCTGGGTATTATTTTTGCATACTGTACTTTTGTTTATGTTAGAACCATTTTCTAAGCCGTGTTCAATCTCCTGTGAGTATGAGTGTTGGGGTACGTGGCTGCCAGGTGTTTCTAGTTGCTCAGGTGTTCCATGTTGCAATAATTGTGAAAACATGAAACAGCTGTGGATGTACAGCTTTGTTGGCAGCCTTTGAAGTTTACTTTTGGTTCTATCCCTTTAGCTAGAAGATATAACCCAAGATGAAGATTATAGAGTTGTTTATGATGGACAGCAAGCAAATGTGAAAATTAGCACAAAGAATATTCTAATTAGAATCACTGCAGAGAGCCTGGGCATCTCAAAACCACCATCAATCCGAATAAACAACAAATATGCCCACTACTGGAGGAGTAAGTCATCTGCAAAGACCAGGGTGTCCAAGCCAAGGACCACAACACTCTGATCATCACCAAAAACCCAGTAGAACTCTGAAGAAAACCCCAAAATAACTGGCAGATGCACACCCAGACGTCTGTCTGTCTGGAGACTCCATTTTCTGTCCTGCGTTAGTGTGGGTTTGCTCAGTATCCTCCCAGACCCCACAGACATGCGGACTGTCTTTGACTGGGTGTACTAGATTGTAAGGCATCCTGGGAAGGGCAGACATGTGCACCGTCACGCCCTCGATTGCCGTGCGTGCGTGCGTGCATGCATGCATGCGTGCGTCTGGCATCCAGTTCAGGGTTTATCCTTGCTGGGATTGGATCCAGCTCCCATTTTACCCTGTATTGGATAAAGCGATTGGAAATTATATTGTATTATATTTTCAGTAAACACTGTACAAGATGGACTTTTTCCACAGCACTCTATCTGATGAGAAATGGTTGCTGTTGAATGACAGAAAAAATATTCAATAAAGAGGACAATAACTACAGCAAATGATTCCTAAAGGGCTTCCTCACTTGGCAGGAAGCACTGAAATTAATATCACTTTTTACTTTTCTGTTCCTTGTAAAAAGATCTTTCACCCGAAAATAATAACAGCTATTATCAAGATATGATAAGCCCTCCTGGATAACTCCATTTTATTGTGTTTTCCAAGTGGCTGACAGCCTTACAGTGAGTAATTGATCTTCCCAGCTCAGTGACTGTAATGAAATGAATTCCACGGGCATTGTTGGACTAGATAAAAACATCATTGCTTTCAGCTTCTAAAATATCTAAGAATTTCAATCGCCTCATAAAATTTAAAAATTAGATATCTTGGTATCAGCTGAAGCACCAGTGACAATGAAATAGTTCATATTAAATAATTACTTCAATTAAGGGCTCAATTCAGCAACTAATACTTGAGCTCTAATGAAGGCCAAGAGACACTGGTGTTACAAAATCAAGAATGATTTAACCTGAGGTAAACAGATCCAGCCCTGAAGCTAGACAATCCAGGACTCCAGGGTGTGTTGCAAGCAGTGACAATTTAAACCTTCTGAACAGAGTTAAACTGATTTAGCTACAAAGTGTGGCAATTACTCTATTAAGTGGACTGTAAGCTGACAGGCCTCGTACCTGGGATCCAACACCAGCTGGTTTTACTTTCCAAATGGACTAAGCATGGTCTGTCCCATTACTACTGTAAGTTTTCAATTTTATTGTGTTTTGTGTTCAGTATGTACAAAGTGAATAATTTAAACAGTCCCAGAACATGCAAATGTTTAAAATGGAATGTAAAAAAGTGGATATGTTAAATCTGAAACGGATCCCCAAGAAATTGCATAGTCTTCCAGTGAATTAATTACCAATTAATCAAACCAGATGAATTAATTAACTAGCTAGTTGAGCTACAGTGCAGTGGAAAATGCATTTCAAAGGTCAGTATTTGACAGCTTCTGGATGAAAATCATGACTCTGCCATCATTATAAATAATAAAATATCACATAAGTACAATGAAATATCAGTTTTGGATGAATAATGCAACTTAATTTTCCCGCTGAAGGAACAGTAAAAATTAAGTTGGCATAACAGTTGTTCTAATTCGAGCTTCCTTCGCCTCTAAGAAGAGGACCATACTGTTTTTATGGAAACATTTTCCAGTTGCTAGGCCCAGCTGTATGTATATTGATGGTAAGCCCTTAAAGAGTAACAGGACGGCTTTGATGATGGGCAGAATCATGTTATTGCAAACACGACACAGAGAGTAGGTTAGTGCAGCACATACAGAGTTAAAGCACATTTCAAAGAGGAACAGCACAGAAGACCTAAGATTTTTTTTTCTCTTCAGTTCTGATCTCGTGATCCGAAAGCCTGCTCTTTAATCCAAGCTCTGTGGTGTCGCTATGGAAACAGAAACACGGGTTGCAGTACCAGCGTTAACATAAAGTAGTACTGGTGGGAAGACCGTAGAAGGAGGAGAAGAAAAAAAAAAGGTTTTTATCAAATTATTTTGAAATTATGCGAATAATTGCTTCGCTGGTGGTAAATATAGCATCAGCAGCAGTCAATCGCCTACACACACATTATGTCTGTGTGCCGGAAAACTGTTGATGAAAATTACAGTTCACTCCCCTGTGGGATACCGGTTTGTGATGTGAGCCCATTATATCTGTAAGCTACTCAGAGGCACTGCTTCTTAATATTAACAGGAACAGTACTAGAAGAAAAGGCAGGGCTGAATATGGGGGAAGCTAGAAAAAACAAAACCAATTACAAGAATTGAAAAAGAAACGGTGCATTTTGATTTTTCTCTCTGCCGGATATGACCAAGAATATGTTTAAGTAAGTGTTACTTAGATGCACAAAAGAACATAACACACTAAAGTCACAAAAGTAGGGGAGGCTTGGTCCAACAAAAAAGTGAAATATGAATATGCCTCCATTGCAGGGCACACACAGACACACACACTCACACCAAGATAGATAGATAAGATCACTTTCTTGGCCATATACAGTTTCTTGCCTTATGCATTTGTCTTTTCACATACCCCAGCTTGCTCTCCATGAGACACACAGACAGGGAGAGAAGCTTGGGATCAGAGCGCAGGGTCAGCCATTTATACAGCACCCCTGGAGCAGTTGAGGTTAATGGTCTTGGTCAGGGGCCCAGCGGAGTAGGATTCCATATGACCTTCTCAGTTGACGATTGCACACTTCCTCAATGAGTTCACTCACATGTTTGGTGCACCTCTCGAGTGTTGAGGTAGTCCAGGAAGGGAACCACCAGCCCCTGGCCCAGGTAGATCTTCACCAGAGTCATGGCAACATCCTGTCGGCTCTCGACCGTGGTCACCTCCTCCAGCATGGTCAAGGGAGTCGTGTCCTCCACCTGGGGAGAGAACAGGGGTCAGTGTTTTCTAGTCCCTGCTCCTGGGTCCACTCATGAATTGCGATTCAACTTGAAAATCACTACAGCCAGCAAGGTGTCCATTGCATTGTCTTAAGGCTAGATGGTAACCAACCTCCTTCCAGGCCACAAGATGGCACTGTGAAGGCAGCCCAGTGACCATCAGGTTTAAACTGTAGTTCCCACTTCTCGTCAGCCAGTCCTCTTCCAGTCCCTTTCACGTACAGTGAGTCATGCAAAATATGAATTCAGAGCTATGTGTGTTTTATTTCACTTATGGTAATGGATTGTGATCCAGTTTGCAAATCGCTGAAGCCAACGAGATTTCTACTGCAAGACAGTGTGATCTGCATATTCTGTTGTGTAGTTTTGCACAGGTTTTATCCCTGAAGTAGAAAAGCAATGCACAGGGACTCAAATACGCCGTTTGATCCATTGGAGTTTTACAAATTTCAGAACATTCTTTAGATATGACTTTGACATGAAATTCCATTAGAAACGGCCTTTCTTTCACACGGTCATTTTCTTCATATGAATCTGGAGCTTTTCTGAAAAACATGGAAAGGCTCAAGCTGCAATATTGTGTAAATCCTATTTCTGTCCCCGAGTATACATTTGATTTCCACATACCTGAAAAGAAAATGTCATTAAAAAACCTGGCACTAAATTCTCAGAACATTAAATAAACATCACGATGTGTTATAACATATGCTAATGTTGTAATCAGTTGGATGAAATCCAAGCTTGGTACTGTCTTTCCATTTTAAACCGTGTTCAAAGCCCTCTTCATGTTGTACCAGGAAACAATGAAATTGCTTAATTTACTCCATTAATAAAACACAGAAAATTGGGAAAAGTCTTATGATCATAAAGGAAGGTTTGTGCTTGTACAGAAGCAATGCACCATACTTTTGGAAGTTTTTGATGAGATACTGTATTAAAAAAAATATATGAGCAACTTGGATGTGACAAAGCAGTTATTTCCCTAACACATTTACTGTATTTGTGCAACAGAAAGACAAGTTTGCAGAGACTACACTGCTTGCAGTACTCATGTCCAGTTGCAGTATGGGCCTTTTTTTTCATGGGCTCTGGTGCAAAAGTCTCTCAAATGTCTTTCAAAGATCACATATATAAATATCCCATCAGGCACTGTCGTTCAAACATGGAACGGTGCTTGAATTGGTTCCCTGTCTGTGAGGAAGTGCTTCTCTTTCTTGTTTTTACTACTTTGTCCATCTGTCTTCACTGCACAGCTTGTCTTCAGAAGGCCCCTATCCCTACACTGACCCAGCCTGACTGAACCTCTGAGATCTCGGAAGACTAGAGTAGTTTCAATGTTGCAGTCCCAGAAAACACAGTTCTGAACTGGGAAAAGGAAGAAAACAAAATTGTACAAGTCATGTCTGATGTTACGGATATGCTCCAGTTGCTACCATGGTCTCATGGAATCGACCTTTTGTATCTGGACTTTAAAACTCAGGTTGCTGAAGACTGGAACAGCTGAAGCAATTTGTGTTATGGAGATACATTTCTCGCCTGTCCTTTCCACGATGGCTGTGTAAAGACCTGCATGGATCTGTAATGTGGGCACACAAGCAATTGATCCCTCTGACACCAGCTGGAGTTGTGTTTGCATGTCTGATGTTCCCAGCATGTGTTAACACTCTGCCTGTAGAAGCTCTCGCTTAGAGGGCTAAAGAGCACTGTATTGCATAGAAACCTCATCACTCCATTTCCTACATATAATATTATTCCTACATGTATTATATTATGTGCCATTTATTGCTTTAACATATTCTAAAGCTTAATTTGTAATGATTAAAAACTGTCCAAAGCCTAGAGTGGGCACCTTCAGGTTTGCCCCAGTGAAGAACAAACACAAAGATCATGTTCGTGCAGCACTGATTCATTCAAATCAGTTTTGTAATTTATTCTAATTTTGGAAAAGGGTGGCCCATATGTACATACAGTAGCAGCAATAAAGTTGAGCTAAAATAAAATGTTCAAGTTTCAATATAGCTCAACACCCCTTTAATCTCAGACATTTAAGGCCCACTATACGGTAGCTGAGGCAACATTTTGATAGAGGCTTCTTCTAATCATTTGCAGCAAATAATTTTGAGGAATGCTTTCAATCAACATAAACAAAGTCATCTATACTGAGTGGCACTACGTGAGCAGAAGACAGCAGAAATAAGCTGTCTTATTTCTGCATCATTTCTTATTTCTGCATCAGAAATAAGCATCATTCCATTAAAAGGTGTCCTTTCTGTAACTGCAGTGAAACAGATCTGGCAAGTGTTGAATTGGGACACAGAGCACATGGATTTAATGTGCCTTCTTCTTGTTTAAAAACACTTTAAGCTGTTCTTACTGATGTTTATCTCCCTCACCACTGTTTCTAATCCAAATCAGGCTTCTCTAAATTCAAGAGGTCATTCATGGACATGGTAGTGCCCACAAAGAAGCTGTGACATCCACATACCATACACAGTGCTCATTTCCCTTTCCATTTGAAATTCCAATGACTCTCAATGCTCAGCAAGCCAGAGAACCAATTAAACACACTTTGGAGTTGGCCTTCTCTAACAGATACCCCAGCCCTTATCACCTCAAATTGAGTTTCTAAAAGAATATTGCATTTTCACAATCATACCATAAAAAACAGGACAAACATCAGCCTTTTTTCAAAATAAAGATTTGAAAAATCTTTATGATACATCTTTTCTTTTTTTCTTAAAAGTAGAAAAATCTGGAGAAAAAGTATGGGAAGAATAAAAATGATTTCCTCACCAGTCTGAAGACTAGATGGTAACTAACCTCCTTCTGGGCCACAAGATGGCGCTGTGAAAGCAGGCCAGTGACCATCTGGTTTGTGCTTCACTCTTCTAGTTAAACATTGAATCCGCTTTTGGTGTGTCATGTCAGTGTGTGTCAATGTCTGACCTTAGCTTGTAATTAAAGCAAGCTTGTGAACAGTCCTTTTCAAGTCCCTGTCATGTACTGTGGGCCCTGCATTGAGAGCTATGTGTGTGTTTTATTTCGCCAGACAAAATGACAAAGTGACCTTCAGTTCGTGTGAAGGTCCCCCCCCTTGTGTATTCAGTATCAGTCATATTTCCCTTGTCAAAAATGTGACCTACTGTAGTATTCAGCTAGGGGTGTCTTAATCTTTCGATACCAGTCTAATACAGCCCCATTTCATTAAGATGTCTAATGGTGCTAGAAATAGATTACACGAAATCACAAGCTATTGCTACAAGAACAAGACCAGAAAGCTCTAACAGAAACATTGTTAAGGTGCTCAGAATATCCCAGGGAACAACACTTCCAGTAAAATGACAGTGGTAAGACACTGTAACATTGTCTGCCCTGTGCTCGATGTGCTGTTCCTGGAGATGCTTGATTGTGAATTTCAAGTAAAGACAGGTAGTAACTGTTCCACTACAGTGGTTAAACAAGTGTGGGTGTTTCGCTCCAGTTATTTTTAGTAGAATACAATGAGATGGTTGTTGCCTCAATATGAGCGATCCAGCTAAAATGCTGCATCACACCCTTGTGAGGAGATAAGCACAGGGGGAGGCAGCTGTTGGGCCGGTGAACCACAGCAGCATTAGGGTGGCACATACCTAATTAGAGCAGCACATTTCCACTCTTCATGCAAATCAGAATTACCTTGTGTGATATTTCAACATTGGCTATTTTCAGGCTTCGAGAGATGTTTAATCCATCAAGGTGAGCAGGCAGGAGTTTGATTCTAGTGAGGTGTTTAGTTCAGTCCTAAAAGAGCAGCATCTTGCAGGTATGCTTAATATCTTCTTAATTACAGTATGTCTAGTTGAGACCCAGAATTGTTTTGCATTTTTGAATTTAGATGCAGCAATGTTTTCTTAGCTCTTTTATCTCCAATCAGTATGGAATCTCCAACTGTTAAACAGTTATTCTGTCACCTGCATAAGGACCAAAAGAGCCCATAGGTGCTTCAAACAGTAAGACACAGTCACAGCTTATTGACTGGCAAGTCAAGAACACCCTCCACGACTGAAGGCTGAGTGGAATTCCATTTGGAATATTAACAAGTTCAGTCAATAATTTAGATCAATTATACATTTCATGGATTGGGGATAAACTTCATGCCGCTTGGCATATTTATAACAGTGCAGAAACAATCAACTGGAGAGACCTTGACCACCTGCATCCCGAATGGACACCTTTACTGTCTGAGCCACTCTAGGGCCTCTGGCTGGACAAGACGAAACAGGGTCCTCACCTCAGCAGGGGAGATGACAGACTCCACCAGAAGGTCAATGAGAGGCTGGTAGTACATGGAGGGCAGGATGCGATCCTCCACCAATCGGATTTTTAGCCTCAGTGCTCCCAGTTTACCCCTGGAAGGAATCAAAAACCATCACCACCATATAAGCAAGCACAATCACCAGAAATCCTGCATGAGACATTCCCTGCTACATCACTACTTTACAGTACACTACTGCACTGAGGTCATGGGTAGTCAAATATCAAACAGTAGCAGAATTCTTAAGTATTTTTTCATAAAGCAATCAAATGCTGAAACATTAAACTGACCCTTCCAGTAATTAAATTTGACATTTGTGATCAAAGGCAAACTGAAGGCTAATTAGTTTACACGTGGGTACTTTTGAGTGATGTGTTTTAAATAACCTTGCACTTGTAATTTCTTGTCACTTCACCACTGCCACTGCCTGTGTGGGCGAACCGATTGTCCCTGTTGTTGTGGGAAACTCTGGGGACTATGCAAAGAAATTTGACAATTAAAATGTGCACACAGTGCTGATTTTTGAGTAGAATGTCTACAGACCACAGGAGGATGCTTAGCCCAACTAGTCCATTTGGTAGCAGGTAGTTGAATCAAGGATCTTTTTTCCAGCCATTTCTTGAAGGAAGCTAGGGTATTTCCTTCACCAACATGTCTGGCAGCTTGTTCCAGACTCCCATAACCCTTTGCATGAAGAAGTGACTCCTGCTCTCAGTTTAAAATACACTTCCATGTAGTATCCACTTGTTGTCCTCTAGTTTATTCTGAACCAGTCCACTGTTTCAGTGACTTTGAGGTGGTGTTTTTACTCCATTTTGAACCATGACTGGTTTGCAGAACTTTTTTATTTAAAATGTTTTACTGACTTGTAATAGGCATCCATGTATAATGGAAACTATTTTAAGAACCATCTAATGCATTAGACAACAAGCACAGCAAATTAACTGAATGTACTGTACTGAATGTACTGAATTTACTGAATGTAAATAGAACTATGAAGGGATACTGACCCATAACTATAGTCATGGTGATAAGTAACACCATGCCTGTTCATCTGCCATCTTTAATTTATTCAGCTGAAGGGGTGTTCTGTATTAAATGTGTCATACCCACTCCCACCGGAGTGCTAGAGAAAGCTCTAGTATCACTATGACAACCAGCAGAGCCTCTGCTAGGCCTGTCAGTCAGCTGGTCGCTGTGAACACATGCTCTGTCAGGACATCTCTTCCACCTGTGCGAGATTAATCACCTCACCCATCTCCTAGGGAGATGGCTATTTCAGATCAGATTAAGATTTGCAGCTCTGTAGCACTTAGTCTCAGAGTCTCTTCCTTATGTCTTGGTGATCTCTACGTCGTTAAACACTTGGATTTCCGACCCTGCCTCAGTTCAGCCCCAAGGGATCCCCCCTGTGCTTTGTTCCATGGATGTCTTGCTCGCCTGTTTTTTCAGCTACGTTTCTGGAACGTCCCTGGCAGGGTGCTTGCCTGCCTGCTCTGCCTGCTCTTAGCTTCTTCTCACTGCCTCAGGAAGCTGCTTTCCCTCAGGTATAAGCAGCACCATTACAAAACCAGCAACAGAAGAGCAATGACATTCCATTTTTACACAAATGAAGCGCCGAAGTCATTACTTACCTGAAGGAATAATCCAAAATAACATGCCATAAGGGTGCAGAAAGTTTTGATACACTCCTGGCCACTGTAAAATCTTTGTATCTTTGATACAAACACCACTCAGATCACAAGGATAACAGCATTTCGAAGCATGTAGCAGCATTTTCTTGTTTTTAATATATAACTCATTATGTTCTAAAGTTGTGAGGGGACTTAGAGCCCTCTTTTCAGTGATGTCATTCACTGTTTTCCTTTGATCATCTTTTATAATGGACCTGTAACTCTACTCATGAGGTAAAAATGGCAACAGAGTCAAGCAGTTTGTCTATCGATTGGCAGCTCTGTATACCTAACTTGTCTTAAACTTCCTTGTGAAAAGATCTAGTCTCTCCACTCCAAAGACTGGTATAACATGTGACTGGAATAATTCAGTAACTCTAGTGAGCGATGTTAAGGTTCTGTGATTTTATTAGCGTACTGTACATTGCTATTTGGAAATCAAATCTGGTTATATTTGAATTTAATTGTTTAACTTTAAATTGTTGTTGTATGCTGTAATGGCTTCCTTAAAAAGAGCATAGGTATGGGAAGTCAAGGTGAGTGAAGCCCAGTCCTTTAGTTTGCAAATAAAATGAAAGCAAGAGCAAAGACCTGACAAGGGCCTTTCCAAACTCTCACCCTGCGTCATCCTCAGTGTTTCCCAGGGGCAGCAACCGGAACCAGCCCTGCAAGAGTGGGGTCCTTTGCAAACAGGCCATGGGGATCTCTACCTGCAAGCCATGGACATATGCACACACATGGTCATGACAGCGATCATCACATGGGCACAGTGTTGTTACTAGGCCCTTCCTGGGGGGCAAAGCATCACTCAGTCGCTCTCATTCTGGGTGAGGGGAGGTATGTTTAAAATGTAGGGACACGTTTAACCTCAGCTGGCACATTATATGCCAGCAATTGATAACTGAAAAACTGCCATTGCAAGGCACATACTGTATCTGTATTTAGTGATTGATTTTCAAATTAATTGGTTATGCAAAAGGCCACCAGTGTCATACCGGGAGACAGGTTGGTAGTCTTATACCCTAAATAACACATATATACCCTGAAGTGGCTGTACATTGTGTAACAATTCAATTATACAGTATTATAATTATATATATATACTCACAGATAAACACATGCAACATAGTCCTCACCTTTCCCTTCACTATTGAAGATTTTTAGTGGGCTTATGGAAACCAGGCTTATGGAAAATTGATCTAATTTAATGAATCTGTTTAGAGAAAAACAACACAACCTCAGCTGGAAATCCTGATTGTATTGAAGGTCACTACAGGACATGAGTGTGTTTTATGGACAGCACCTACAGAGCGGTATCGAAGGACACTGTATGAGGGAGGTACGGGGCTGAACAGACAGTACAGTACCTTCCCTAGGAAGTCATTCTTCCCCACCATGTCCCAGTCCCACACTTCTAGCATGACGCACTTCTCCTCTGGCAGCTCCTCTGCCTCCAGCTCCAGCTCCAGCAGCTCGTCCCAGTGAGGGAAACGGGTCTTCTTAATAATCTGCATGTGGGAGAAATACTGGGAAAGCTAAACATTTGCAGTAAAACATTCTTTTCTTTCCATGAAGTCTCTGCTTTCATCCTGAGCTGTTTTAGGATATCCCTTAGCTTTGGCAGACCACATCAGCTTCACTTTGAAGACCACCATTGTCCAGACAGACCTAGAATCACAGACGTTTAAATGCCAATCCCTCTCACTTGTATCTGCACCCGTGTTGCATTTGACAGCTTTTAACAGAATCAACTGGACTGCTGAGGAGCTGAACCAGTGCAGGCACAAACGCAGAGAATGGGCCGAGCCCCATCAGCCAGGCAGTGTCAGTTCAAGCAGGGCAAAGTCAAAAAGAGCATGAGAAAGGGTAGAAAGAAGAAGAGGCCATTCAGACCAGGCTATTCAGCTTGGAAAGAGAAACAAATTTAAACAAAAGAAAATGAAGTTGTCTGAATGAATTATTCTGTATTTTCTTCAAATGGATCACTACACCTGACACGCGAGTGAGCGAACTCTTAATAACATGCAATGGTGTTGACCAAGGTGCTGTCTTCTTCTCTTCTTAAAACAGGGGTGTGAAACTCCACTCCCAGAGAGCTGCACGATCCACAGGCCTCCGACCCAGCTCCAGCTTCCTCATTAATCTGTTTTTTTGGGGGGGTAAACCTTCTCTGCGGAGTTGGCACACATTTTCAAGGGGTGCTCCAGTGTCCGCCTATCTTCCAACGATTTGCCGAATGGGTCATTTGGTGTCTCTGAATCCTACCTCTGTGCTTGTGTGTATGTGCATATCCTGCAATGGACTGATGTCCCATCCAGGGTGTAACTCCACTTCCTTCCCATGAACTTCCAGGATTGGAATCCAATTGCTCCCGTCCTTC